CACCCACATAAAGGAGGAGGATGTAACACTGACAGCAACACTGACAGCAACACTGACAGCAACACTGACAGTAACACTGACAGCAACACTGACAGCAACACTGACAGCAACACTGACAGTAACACTGACAGCAACACTGACAGCAACACTGACAGCAACACTGACAGTAACACTGACAGCAACACTAACAGTAACACTGACAGTAACACTGACAGCAACACTGACAGCAACACTGACAGCAACACTGACAGTAACACTGACAGTAACAGTAACAACACTGACAGCAACACTGACAGTAACACTGACAGTAACACTGACAGTAACACTGACAGCAACACTGACAGCAACACTGACAGTAACACTGACAGTAACACTGACAGTAACACTGACAGTAACACTGACAGTAACACTGACAGACAACACTGACAGTAACACTGACAGCAACACTGACAGCAACACTGACAGTAACACTGACAGCTAACACTGACAGTAACACTGACAGTAACACTAACAGTAACACTGACAGTAACACTGACAGTAACACTGACAGTAACACTGACAGTAACACTGACAGTAACACTGACAGCAACACACAGTAACACTGACAGTAACACTGACAGCAACACTGACAGCAACACTAACAGTAACACTGACAGCAACACTAACAGTAACACTGACAGCAACACTAACAGTAACACTGACAGCAACACTGACGGCAACACTAACAGTAACACTGACAGCAACACTGACACGTGAAAGGCTGCATTTATATAACATGAGTCACAGTTCTGCAGCTGTGTCGAGCCGCTCACCCACTGCTGTAAATATCCAGCTGTTAAACTGTGACACAGAAAAAATAAGAACTTGGTGACGATAAAGTCAGAGGAAAGACTCCCACAAACAAATGAAAGCAACAAGCAGAAGTTCAGCCGTAGCAAAACCCATATTTACATATATTAATCATCAGGCTCAGCAGCAGATGTGAGATCACAAGTAAAGTGAATATGACAATGTTCAGACACAAAACTGTGACTTCTGTGATGTTTGTGATGGTTTCTCTTTACTGACATGAGGTTAGTACATCACACAGATACCTGCCTATTACTGCTCAGTAGCCAATCCTGGAGCTCAGCCTTGATGGACGGTGTGTTGCCACAGCAACCTCACAGCAGTTGTATTGTTGGTCAGATAATGTCATTAAAAATGCTCCAAAAGGCTCCAACAGTACAGACGTGGTCCAGAGGTCCAGTTCAGGGACTCCAAAGAGGCCACGCCCCTTATGATGTCAACTTTAAACCTTAATGATCTTTAGACGCCAAACAGTTTGTATCAGGCTGTAAACATGTTTAACATGGGAGTCTATGGGGACTGAGTCAGTCCTGCCTCTGCTGGACGTTAGAGGAACTGCAGATTTGGTCCTGCTGGTCTGTGTGCGTCCATCACACTGTGTCTGTGTGCGTCCATCACACTGTGTCTGTGTGCGTCCATCACACTGTGTCTGTGTGTGTCATCACACTGTGTCTGTGTCCATCACTGTGTCCATCACACTGTGTCTGTGTACGTCCATCACACTGTGTCTGTGTGCGTCCATCACACTGTGTCTGTGTGTGTCCATCACACTGTGTCTGTGTGTCCATCACACTGTGTCTGTGTGCGTCCATCACACTGTGTCTGTGTGCGTCCATCACACTGTGTCTGTGTGTGTCCATCACACTGTGTCTGTGTGCGTCCATCACACTGTGTCTGTGTGTGTCCATGTCTGTGTGCAGGCAGAGTCAGCAGGTGGAGAGATACGTGTACGAACTGATCGAGGAGCTGAAGAGGAAGATGAAGACTGTGGAGACTGTTAACCTCGAGGTCACACACACACACACACACACACACACACACACACACACACACACACAAATCACACACACACACCACACACACACACACACACACACACACACACTCATTCATCTCTGCTCGTCGTCCTCAGGGGTCTTTTAAGTGTCTCCATCCAGACTCCAAACATCAGACTCGCTGTCTGTCATGTCTCCCTTGTCGTTTCTACAACCTGATTGGTCAGCTCTGTTACCGCAGCACTGAAGCTCTGGTCAAAGGTCAGCCTCCCTTTCTACCACGTCTCCTTGTGTCCTGTTTCTTCCTTCCTGCCATCGTACTCTTCTTCTTCTGTCCTCCTTCTGTTCAGTCTGAACTTCCAGAGAAACACATTTGCTCTGTTTTAACCAACAAATCCTCTTACAAGCCGCCTGAGCTTGGACTGTTTCCTCTCAGCCACCAGATCCTCCCTGGAGGCCCTGAGGAGGAGACTTCATGTCTCCAAAAAACAGCCACACTTTTCCTCCTCCTTGGTGTCTTCCTCCAGCGGTGCCCAGCCAGCTCCTCCTCCACCTCTCCTCACAACCTCCATCCAGCTTGCAATCCCCAACATGGTCCTCAGACCCAGTCTGGATGACATTCAGGTATTTGTGTCCAGAGGAGCAGATTTGACCCTCAGTAACATTTTGGAAGTTCTCATGTGTCGGCAGGTCCACCGTCTGGTTTCACAGCAGGACGTCACACAGGACTGGCCTTGTAGTTAATGTCATGTTCATGCACCTGCCCGTCACTGCTGTCAGTTACCCAGCCTGTGTGTCCTTCTCACGTCTCAGTCTGTGGTGAATAAGCTGGTGGGCGTCGTGCTGTCTGTGACCAAAGACGTCCCTCTGTGGACTTACTCTCACCTGCAGTACAAACAGCAGCAGGTACGCTCATCTGACTCATCCTGCTTTAAAATCACCTGGTAGCAGGCAGCCAATCGCAGTCCAGCTTCATCCCGCCCCTCTTTCTGTTTCTCAGGCGGAGCAGGCGGCGGGTCGTAGCGGAGGAGAGGACGTGGCAGTGAAGCCAGGGTGCTGCGAGCGCTGGACAGACAGCTGGCTGAACACAAAGACATCAGCAGGTCAGTAAAACAGCAGAGACATGACAGGATGTTTGTCTGGCTGAGACGCTGTGGACACGCAGAGATGCACAATCACACCTGCAGCTGACGTCCTTTGACTGAAACACACAGAGTGGGTCCTGTGGAGGAAAGTTCTGCAGTCCCTGCACAAACTCTCAAAGTGACCTGCGACAAATTCAGATGGTGCACAGAGGCTCAGCGGTTAGTGCTGCTGCACCACTGCAGGAGGGTCCTGGGCTTGAACCTGGACAGTGTTAGAGTGTCTGTGTCCTCAGTGCTGTCTGATCAGTTTCACATGTTCATCACGTGATCACATGACAGTCAGCCCATCAGTGCATGTTCTGATGATGATGATGTTTGGAGCAGGTTGGTGATGCAGCTCAGCTCCATCGTGTCACACCTGAAAGCTCAGGCTGCTGAAACCCTGAATGACCTCGGCCACTTCTCCACCCTGTGGAACCAGGTGTGTGTGTGTGTGTGTATGTGTGTGTGTGTGTGTGTTGTCTGTGTGTGTATAGTGTTGTTTGTGTGTGTGTGTGTGTGTGTGTGTGTGTGTGTGTGTGTGTGTGTTCAGGTTGGTCTTAGTGTTGTTGAGCTGCACTAACAGCTGGCTGTGTTTAGGACCCAGAGGACCAGGTGCAGGCCTTCCTGCAGTCCGACCCCTCCCTGACGGAGTTCAGCGCTCAGATCTGCTTCTACTCTGTGAGTCTACTTCCTGTTACAGACACACCACTGAACATCGCCGTGCATTTCCAGCTTATTATGTTTTTACCTGAGTTATTAGTAAACACACAAAATCAAACAAGGAAACAAAAGAAAAGTGTTTGCAGTGCAGCAGTAGTACTTTTATAATAACAAATGTAAATGTATCACTGCTACAGCAGTCTGGGGTCATTAAAGGGCAGCTGGAGGAAAAAACATTCAGGAATTAAAGTCATAAATGTTCAAAATGAAATTGTTTTCACTTTCTAAAATGTTTCTATTCCCAAGAAAAATGTAATTTATCGTGTAATTCATTCTCAATAAACATTGGACAGTCCTGCAGTTGCAGTTCAGTGGTAGTGCAGCAGGGGGCGCTGGTTAGTTTAGTTTCCACAGAGCCATCATTGCTAATTAGGGCTGGGTATCGTCACTGATTTCTAGAATCGATTCGATTCAATTCGATTTGAATCGGGGAAATTTAGCCTCAGACAGTCAGAAATATTATAATTCAGGTCATGCATCAGTACATTTCCACATTTTTATATCTATAAAAAGAAACCTGACACTTGCGAGACTTTATCAAAGTGTGAGCATCACAGCAGAGGCCTTTGTGTCAAAGTAGCTGAGGATAAAACCTAGAAAAGCATGAAGGACATTTTCCTGTTCTGGGATTTTATAAAAATATTCTGCAGTAGATCAAAAATGAAAGAAACCATGAATCAACACATGAACGTTACCTGATGCTGCTGAAGTGAAGCAGAGCCAAGTTACAGAGGTTTGATTAGAGACACAGCTGAGCGTTTGCAATTTTGCATCATTTTAAACAGTTTAAATTTGTTCAGTATTGAGGTTACGCCCACACAAAGCGCGACCCACCGAAACATCAGAATCAGCGAGCTGTCGGCTTTCAGCCCCGACCGTGTCCGTGCCGTCGGGTGAGAAAGGCGACATCTCACTGATTCTGATTCGTCGGCGGGTTCGCGCTTTGTGTTTACGTCTTTGTGCAGAATCCGTGTACCTGCTCTCATTTACTGTTTTAGCTGTTTGGTGGTTGTTGAAATTTTGTGAGGTTTAACCTGAGATTCTGGCGTTTCGGGCAAAATAAATTTATATTAAAAATCGATTCAGGATTTTAATGAATCGATATCACGTTATCCAAGCCAGAATCGATTTTAATCGATAAATCGATTATCAAAACCCACCGCTACTGCTAATGTGTCAGAGCTGAAAGAAAATGAGCCTCACGTCCTTTAGAGCAGCTGATTTTGACCATACTTGTAGTGGATTTACCCATGATGCCTTGCTGTGCCTGCAGAGGCTGGAGGAACAGATTTCGGAGCTCCCTGCGATTTTACACAGCGGGTTCGATCCTGTTGGACACCGACCAGCTGAAGCGTTCGCTCACTCACGAGTGTCGCTCCTGGAAACGAGCTTTCGGCGCCGCTCTGAACCGCCGAGCGTCCGCCGACATGAACGACATCCTGTCGTTCGTGGACGCGCTCACGAAGCGTCTGCAGCGTCCAATCTCAGACCTGGATGATGTCAGAGCAGCCATGGCTGCACTCAGAGAGGTGAGCCAGCATCTGATTGGCTGTGTGTTACGTCTGCACCTCCTCTTTTTCTTTCAATTCTTCTTTCAGCCCAATAATCGAAAAATGATCCAGTTTTTCTTTTAGATTCTGATTAATTAATTTGTTCATAAACGTACAGCTGCTGATGTCTGGCACTGCCAAAACAAATATATAAAAATGAAATTAGCCAATTGAATAAATATCTCTTTCTTTAATTGCACCAAAATACTATAAAATCTATTTTATGCATCAATTATTTCATAAAATTAAAATTTCAGTCTTTCTTTAATTTTGGCACTTTCAGGCCTCCGTACTTTCTTCACATTCAGTCATGTTTTCTTTCTTCAGCTGTTTTTTCTCTCAGTCCTTCATGTAACGACCCACAGAGTAGAATTCATTCATGAGCCCCTCCCCTCACTCATTCCTCTCCTGCTCACTGTTGGAGGTTCGGGAGGCGGAGTTTCGCATCGACGCCACCATCGGGCCGCTGGAGGAATCCTTCGCCCTGCTCAACAGACACGAGCTGCTCTACGGTGACGGGAACGGCGAGCGCGTGGACGGCCTGATGTACGCCTGGAAAAACCTCACTCACCTGGTGAGTCAGAGGGAGGGGCGTCATGTGACAGGTGCAGGGATGCAGGTGTGTGTTATGTGTGTGTGTTGTGGCTTCAGGTGGTGCAGACCCAGAACACTCTGGTGCAGATTCAGCCCAGCATGAAGACAGACCTGCTGTCTGCAGTGCAGAGCCTCCAGAGCCAGGCTCAGAGCTTCTGCACCGACTACAACCAAAGGTACGCCTCAGAGAGGCACCTGCTCCAGGTGGGCGGGGCCAACCAAATATCCATGCTATCAGCCCGCCCTGAACCTGGGCGACATACTGATAATATCATTGATTATGATAAATGCAGGGGCCCGGGGGTGGAGGGCGTGGCCCCGGCTGAAGCCAGCGAGCGGCTGCAGAGTTTTCAGGCCGAGTTCGATCAGCTGTGGAGGAAGTACACCACCTGCTCAGGTGGAGAGGAGCTGTTCGGGCTGCCTGTGAACGGTACGACTGAACGACTCGCCCGCCCACTTCCTGTTTGTCTGCCTCCTTCCTCACCGGCCGTCTCCTCCCCGCAGAGTATCCGGAGCTGCAGAGGATCCGGAGGGAGCTCTCCCTGCTGTCCAAACTCTACAGTCTGTACAGCTCGGTCACCGACAGCGTCGCCGGCTACTACGACATCCTGTGGGCCGACCTCAACATCGAGAAGATCAGCGCGGAGCTGCAGGACTTCCAGAACAGGTGCAGCTCATTAAGGCTTCAGCAGGACGTTCAAGCCTCCACCTCACGTGTTCCCAAACAGACACATGTTGCTTTACTGATCAATGAAAGCATCCTGACCTCTGACCTCACAGCACAGCCGCTCAGCTTCAGTTTGGATGTTAAATCTGTCATTAACGTTCTTAATGCCAAAGCTGAAACACATCAACTGGATATGTGAGCGTTTCAGTTCAGCTCGTGTCTTCAGTGGCTCACAGTTTGAGAAGCAGCAGGATAGATGAAAACAATCTGAGATTAGGAAACAAATGAATCTTGTTCATTGGCATTGATTGTTAAACATGTCGTTCACACACAGAGATGAAGTTTTGAAGTCTTTCTTTCAGGATCAGGAAGCTCCCAAAGGCCCTGAAGGAGTGGCAGGCCTTCAGAGATCTGAAGAAAACCATCGATGACTTCACAGAGACGTGTCCTCTGCTCTACATGATGGCCAACAAGGTGCCAGAAACATTTCACTGTGAAGCACATATACCACCAACGTCCATCTGCAGGCATTTACACAGCAGCACACAGGCGTGAGAGGAGGAGCTGGGGTGGAGTCCAGTTTCAGGGCGGTGCGCTGATAAGAGGAGCAGCTGTGGGCAGGATGGATGTGTGAAAGGAAATCAGCTGTGCTGGGAGCTTGATTTCATCACCTCCCTGAACCTCTGATTGAAGTTACTTATGCACTAAATTCACTCACATTACAATGATTTGATGTTGATGCAGCCGACTGCAGAGCAGCTACACAGACATGTTAGAACGTGTCGTGGAATTACACAAACGTTTGAGTAATAAAATACTTTTTAAAGGAAAAACAGGAAACTAAGAAACTGCACCAATGTTTGTGGAACAGCTTCATTGGTGGACTGATGGATTTTGGCTGTGGCCTTCAGCGGGGGTGTGGTGTCACGTCCTGCAGCTACCACAGTGGAAAGACAACAGACGCCGTGACATCGGCCACGGGCAGCAGTGAGGCTACATGTGCACATAAGGCTAGTTAGAGAGACGGAGGACAGACGGGTGACACAGGTGTAGACGGGCAGGAGAAAAGGAAGCAAAAGTACAGAAGACTATCAAAATAAAACAGGAAGTGACAGAGACACCTAACACAGAGACCGAGATTTCACAATAAGATACAGGGTACACAACAAACGTGAAATATTTACATGTATGTTGAAAGTACATAATAATAATGTGTAATAACTGTGTGGCTCAGGCGATGCTGCACAGACACTGGACTCGTCTCAGCGATGTGACCGGTCACAGCTTCCAGGTGGACTCTGACAGTTTGTGCCTGAGAAACATTATAGAGGCTCCGCTGCTGAAGCACAGAGAGGACATCGAGGTGAGTCTGAAAACACTGCACATGTAAACTAACCAGCCTAAACACACACACACACACACGCACACACACACAACACGCACACACACCACACACACACACACACACACACACACACACACGCACACACCAGCACACTGCACACGCACACACACACCACACACGACACACGACACACACGACACGCACACACACACACACCACCACACACACCACCGCACACAACACACAACACCGCACACACACATGCACACGCACACGCACACGCACCCACACACACACACCCCAACAGCATACAGATATACACCACACACACACACACACACACACACACACAGAAATCTGAAATGTGCAAAGTTAGAAATGAACCTGGAAATGCAGCATGTGAAAGTCCCCGTAAACCACTCTTACCTGAATTCATAAAACCCTAAAATACTGGATCAGTCCTAAAACTCCAGATTAAGATTACAGGTGAAAAATATTTCTGAAACTTTCATCTGAGCTGATTTTTTAAGAAAATGTATAAAATTCAAAGAAGAAAGAAAAACTGTTTTAATCCTGAAAGTTTATTAAAGCTGCTTTAATGTGAGAACGTGTTTTATCCATGTGAACCAGGACGTTTGCATCAGCGCGGTGAAGGAGCGCGACATCGAGGCCAAGCTGAAGGACGTGGTGGCCGAGTGGAGCAGCCACACGCTCAGCTTCGCCACCTTCAGGAGCAGAGGAGAACTGCTGCTGAAAGGAGCCGAGACCACAGAGAAAATCTCCACGATGGAGGACAGCCTGATGGTGCTGACGTCCCTGCTGAGCAACAGGTGAGGAGACGAGGGCAGAGGAGTTGAGGAGACGAGGGTGGAAGGAAAGCAAAGACGTCTCAGAGTCAGAAAGCAAGAAAAACATGAGAGGCAGGAAAGAAAAGTAGGAATGCTGTTTGTGCATGCAGGGTTACACCTGTGGCTCTTTGCTCCGCAGGTACAACGCTCCGTTCAAGCCCTCCATCCAGCTGTGGGTGCAGAAACTCTCCAACACCTCAGAGATCATCGAGAAGTGGCTGTCGGTTCAAAACCTCTGGATCTACCTTGAAGCGGTGTTTGTGGGTGGAGACATCGCCAAGCAGCTGCCTCAGGTAGGAGCAAACACTAAGACTTTAATTTGATCGTTTTTCTTTCATATTTAAGTCTGAAATCTGAGTTTTAATCCCTGCAGGAGGCCAAACGTTTCCAGAACATCGACAAGTCGTGGCTGAGGATCATGCAGCGAGCGCACGAGGTTCCCAACGTGGTGCAGTGCTGCGTGGGAGACGAGATGCTCAGCCAGGTGCGGCCCACGTGCCTCTGAGCAACACTCTGCCATGAGGGTAAAATACGAATGCTTGATTCACATCAGCTCCATCTGTCCTCCTCCTGCAGCTGCTTCCTCACCTGCTGGAGCAGTTGGAGCTCTGTCAGAAGTCTCTGTCCGGTTACCTGGAGAAGAAACGGTTGGTGTTCCCTCGTTTTTTCTTCGTGTCCGACCCCGCCCTGCTGGAGATTCTGGGCCAAGCCTCTGACTCACACACTATACAGGTGACACACTTTACAGGTGACACACTTTACAGGTGAGACATTATACAGGTGACACATTATACAGGTGACACACTTTACAGGTGACATGTTATACAGGTGACACACTTTACAGGTGACATATTATACAGGTGACACACTTTACAGGTGACATTATACAGGTGACATGTTATACAGGTGACACACTTTACAGGTGACACACTTTACAGGTGAGACATATACAGGTGACATGTTATACAGGTGACACACTATACAGGTGACATGTTATACAGGTGACACACTTTACAGGTGACATGTTATACAGGTGACACACTTTACAGGTGACATGTTATACAGGTGACACACTTTACAGGTGACATGTTATACAGGTGACATGTTAACAGGACTTTACAGGTGACATGTTATACAGGTGACACACTTTACAGGTGACATGTTATACAGGTGACACACTTTACAGGTGACATGTTATACAGGTGACACACTTTACAGGTGACATGTTATACAGGTGACACACTTTACAGGTGACATGTTATACAGGTGACACACTTTACAGGTGACATGTTATACAGGTGACATTTATACAGGTGACATGTTTACAGGTGACATGTTATACAGGTGACACACTTTACAGGTGACATGTTATACAGGTGACACACTATACAGGTGACACACTATACAGGTGACATGTTATACAGGTGACATGTTATACAGGTGACACACTTTACAGGTGACATGTTATACAGGTGACATGTTATACAGGTGACACTTACAGGTGACATGTTATACAGGTGACATGTTATACAGGTGACACACTTTACAGGTGACATGTTATACAGGTGACATGTTATACAGGTGACACACTTTACAGGTGACATGTTATACAGGTGACATGTTATACAGGTGACATGTTATACAGGTGACACACTATACAGGTGACACACTATACAGGTGACACACTATACAGGTGACATGTTATACAGGTGACACACTTTACAGGTGACATTTACAGGTGACACACTTTACAGGTGAGACATTATACAGGTGACATGTTATACAGGTGACACACTTTACAGGTGACATGTTATACAGGTGACATTTATACAGGTGACATATACAGGTGACACACTTATACAGGTGACATGTTATACAGGTGACACACTTTACAGGTGACACACTTTACAGGTGACACACTTTACAGGTGAGACATTATACAGGTGACATGTTATACAGGTGACACACTTTACAGGTGACATGTTATACAGGTGACATGTTATACAGGTGACATGTTATACAGGTGACACACTATACAGGTGACATGTTATACAGGTGACACACTATACAGGTGACACACTATACAGGTGACATGTTATACAGGTGACACACTATACAGGTGACACACTTATACAGGTGACATGGTTATACAGGTGACATGTTATACAGGTGACACACTTTACAGGTGACATGTTATACAGGTGACATGTTATACAGGTGACATGTTATACAGGTGACACACTTATACAGGTGACATGTTATACAGGTGACACACTTTACAGGTGACACACTTTACAGGTGACACACTTTACAGGTGAGACATTATACAGGTGACATGTTATACAGGTGACACACTTTACAGGTGACATGTTATACAGGTGACATGTTATACAGGTGACATGTTATACAGGTGACATGTTATACAGGTGACACACTATACAGGTGACACTATACAGGTGACATGTTATACAGGTGACACTATACAGGTGACATATACAGGTGACACACATTTACAGGTGAATTATACAGGTGACACACTTTACAGGTGAGACATTATACAGGTGACATGTTATACAGGTGACATGTTATACAGGTGACATATACAGGTGACATGTTATACAGGTGACACACTTTACAGGTGACATGTTATACAGGTGACATGTTATACAGGTGACACACTTTACAGGTGACATGTTATACAGGTGACACATTATACAGGTGACACACTTTACAGGTGACACACTTTACAGGTGACATGTTATACAGGTGACATGTTATACAGGTGACACACTTTACAGGTTACATGTTATACAGGTGACATGTTATACATGACATGTTATACAGGTGACACACTATACAGGTGACATGTTATACAGGTGACACACTATACAGGTGACACTATACAGGTGACATGTTATACAGGTGACACACTTTACAGGTGAGACATTATACAGGTGACACACTTTACAGGTGACATGTTATACAGGTGACATTATACAGGTGACTTATACAGGTTACATGTTATACAGGTGACATGTTATACAGGTGACATGTTATACAGGTGACATGTTATACAGGTGACACACTTTACAGGTGACACTATACAGGTGACATGTTATACAGGTGACATGTTATACAGGTGACACACTTTACAGGTTACATGTTATACAGGTGACATGTTATACACATGACATGTTATACAGGTGACACACTTTACAGGTGACATGTTATACAGGTGACACACTTTACAGGTGACACTTTACAGGTGACATGTTATACAGGTGACATATACAGGTGACACTATACAGGTGACACACATTACAGGTGACATGTTTACAGGTGACATGTTATACAGGTGACACACTTTACAGGTGACAGACTTATACAGGTGATTTACAGGTGACATGTTATACAGGTCACATTACAGGTGACATGTTATACAGGTGACACTATACAGGTGACACACTATACAGGTGACACACATTACAGGTGACATGTTTTACAGGTGACATGTTATACAGGTGACACAGCAGCTCACAGGTTTCAGATCTGAGGGGTTTGTATTTGCTGTCTGATGCTTCAGCTTCGCTGCTGCTGCTGAGTTTCTTCCTTCCTCTGATCATGACGTTGAATCTGCTTCCTCGCTGTGTCTGTCAGGCTCATCTGCTCAGTCTGTTCGATAACGTTAACAGAGTTGTTTTCAATGAGAAAATCTACGACCAGATGATCAGTTTCCAGTCCCAAGAAGGAGAAACTGTGGAGCTGAGGCAGCCAGTCCTGGCACAGGTAATCTCACCTCCACATGGAGACCTCCCAGTAAGTTCCCCGTTACTTTTCCCTTAAACTGAATCATTTTATCAATCAGCATCTCACCTCCACTTGCAGGGGAATGTGGAGGTGTGGTTAGGAGAGCTGCTAGCTGGGGTGAGGGGAACCCTTCATGCTATCATCTGTCAGGCTTACCTGGCCATCAGTGACTCCGCCTTTAAGCTGCTGGAGTTCCAGTCGGCGTTCCCGGCTCAGATTGGCCTGCTGGGAATCCAGATGATCTGGACGAGAGACGCAGAAGAAGCACTCGTCCTCAGCAAGTCTGACAAGAAGGTGCTTTTATGCCTCAATTCGAGCCAAACGTGACCATATTTATGTAAGAGGGTGGAGATCTAAAGTTATCCAGTAATGCTGCATCACTTTGACTGTGTCTGCTACGTCGTAATCTACGGTAATGTCCAACACAAACCACAGAATCACCCTCACTGAAACTATTGTTGGACAGTCAATGAACATCACAGCAGCCACATTATTGGTCAGATAATTGCTCTGAATATGCTTCCTACAGACTCTCAGTTAAAACTCAACTTTACAGAAGAAAGAAACAGTCAGTAATTACAGCTTGAATTTATGCAGAATTAAGAGATTGGCTCTTTTAGTAACAAGTCGATGCCGTTTCTTTGTGTTCATCGTGTTCTCTCTTCCACTTTTCAGGTTAGTGCGTTTTGTTTTAATTGTGTTTCAGTCAGAATCCAGTTAACACAACCAAACCCCGTAGCTGGGTAACCAAACCAACCCTCCAAGTTGGTTGGTACAAAAAGAAAAGGAAAACTGTGGTTTGGGTCAAAAGGCTAAACTCAAGTCCGTGTGGGACAGAAGAGTCTTGAGGCAACTTTTGTTGTGATTTGGAGCTCTCTAAATAAAATAAGATAGAATATAATTAAGGCTATGGTGATTATTTACAGGGTGTTATCGTGTCATTCTTCTCTCCTGACTGCCCCCATCTTATTGGTTGTCAGATCATGCAAACCACCAATCAGAAGTTCCTGAACCTCCTCAATGAGCTCATCGACATGACGACTCGAGAGCTGAGCAGGAACGAGAGGACCAAATATGAGACGCTGATCACCATCCACGTCCACCAGAGAGACATTTTCGATGATCTGGTGAACAAAAGAGCAAACATATAAACAAACATCTAAATACTGTTTGATAGTGTCTGTCAGAGTGGGTCATATGACTTTGTGTTTGTCAGGTGAGGATGAACGTGCGGTCGGCTTCAGACTTCGAATGGCAGAAACAGTCGAGGTTTTACTTCCTGGAGGAGACGGACAGATGTGTCATCCAGATCACAGATGTGGAGTTCAGCTACTGTAATGAATACCTGGGCTGCACAGACAGGCTGGTCATCACCCCACTGACAGACAGGTACACACACTCCAGCCTCACTGACTGAGGCCTGTGGACTGACTGATTCACAAACACTGAACATCTGTCCAGGTGTTACATCACTCTGTCCCAGGCTCTGGGGATGAGTATGGGCGGAGCTCCGGCCGGACCAGCAGGAACCGGTAATGTGTGCTTGTGTGTGTGTGTGTGTGTGTGTGTGTGTGTGTGTGTGTGTTTTGTGTGTGTGTGTGTGTGTGTGTGTGTGTGTGTGTGTGTGTGTGTGTGTGCATTCATGTGGATGCCCATGTAATTTCCTGATTAAGGTAAAATGAAGTGAACTCTCTGCGTGCTGTGTGTGTGTGTGTCTGTCTGTGTCTGTGTGTTTGTGTGTGTGTGTGTGCGTGCGTGCGTGCGTGTCTGTCTGTCTGTCTGTGTGTGTGTGTGTGTGTAAAATGAAGCTGAACTCTTGCATGCTGCTGTGGTGTGTGTGTGTGTGTGTGTGTGTGTGGTGTGTGTGTGTGTGTGTGTGTGGTGTGTGTGTGTGTGTGTGTAAAATGAGTGCTTGTGCTGTGTGGGTGTGTGTGTGTGTGTGTGCGTGTGGTGTGTGTGTGTGGTGCGTGCGTGCGTGCGTGCGTGCGTGCGTGCGTGTCTGTCTGTCTGTCTGTGTGTGTGTGTGTGTGTGTGTGTGTGTGTGTGTGTGGTGTGTGTGTGTGTGTGTGTGTGTGTGTGTGTGTGTGTGTGTGTGTGTGTGTGTGTGTGTTTGCAGGTAAAACGGAGACCACTAAAGACATGGGTCGCTGTCTGGGGAAGTATGTGGTGGTCTTTAACTGTTCGGACCAGATGGACTACAGAGGACTGGGACGCATCTACAAAGGTGTGTGAGTGTGTGGATGGTGGACACTGGAAATATTGTCCTGCTGTTGTCACCATCTTATCAACCCACTGAGTAGAAGAGAGGTTAGTCAACCACGAGGCCCGGCCCGCTCTGACAGGACAACCTCTGCAGAGGTTCACTACCTAACATGGACCCACAGCTGTTGTCTGTGGAACCTGGAACAAATGTTCATTAGCTGTTCTTGAATACAGAGCCATGCCAGAGCTGCAGATCCTCATGAAGACATGTTTCTCCTGAGTCAGAGACAAAAGTGTGGAAGTCAGTGGAGGCCAGTCGCCCACTCTTCTATGATACATAACTCTGTATGATACCTAAGTCACGGCATCTTCTTAACATGTAATAAACATGTGATCATTCCATCAAAATGCTGATCTGAAAGTGCAGTGCTGTGTCTGCAGGTCTGGCTCAGTCCGGAGCCTGGGGCTGCTTCGATGAGTTTAACCGCATCGAGCTGCCGGTGCTTTCTGTCGCCGCCCAGCAGATCTACATCGTGCTGCAGTGTAAGAAGAACAAGAAGAAGCAGTTCGTCTTCACCGACGGAGACGTGGTCGACATGGATCCCGAGTTCGGCATCTTCCTCACCATGGTACCTCTGATCTAATGAACACTCTGGTGTTAGTATAAGTCAACGATAAATCATCAGAGTCACTCTGCATATGAAACAATGCACTGTTCAGTATTCAGTGTTCTTTAGGTGAGCAGTTGTGGATACATGAAGGCAGCTCAGTAACTACAGTGAGCCACAGGTCCAGCACTGAGCGTGCTGATGTTCCTCCGCTCAGAAAGTTCTAGTAACTTCTCGGTTTTCCAGAATCCCGGTTATGCCGGCCGTCAGGAGCTGCCGGAAAACCTGAAGATTCAGTTCCGCACGGTAGCCATGATGGTCCCGGACCGAGCCATCATCATGAGGGTTAAATTGGCCAGTGCTGGTTTCCGTGACAACCAGGTCCTAAGCAGGAAGTTCTACACCCTCTACAAACTGTGTGAGGAGCAGCTGTCCAAACAGGTGGGTGATCCTGCAGCTGTAACCACCACACATCCTGTCCTTCTTGGTGTTAGATGATGGATTTTCTCATTTCTCCGTTGCCTTTCTTTGTAAAGTGTTACTCATACAGTGGGACAAAAAAGTATTTAGTCAGCCACCGATTGTGCAAGTTCCCCCACCTAAAATGATGACAGAGGTCAGTAATTTGCACCAGAGGTACACTTCAACTGTGAGAGACAGAATGTGAAAAAATCCATGAATCCACATGGTAGGATTTGTAAAGAATTTATTCGTAAATCAGGGTGGAAAATAAGTATTTGGTCAATAACAAAAATACAACTCAATACTTTGTAACATAACCTTTGTTGGCAATAACAGAGGTCAAACGTTTACTATAGGTCTTTACCAGGTTTGCACACACAGTAGCTGGTATTTTGGCCCATTCCTCCATGCAGATCTTCTCGAGAGCAGTGATGTTTTGGGGCTGTCGCCGAGCAACACGGACTTTCAACTCCCGCCACAGATTTTCTATGGGGTTGAGGTCTGGAGACTGGCTAGGCCACTCCAGGACTTTCAAATGCTTCTTACGGAGCCACTCCTTTGTTGCCCGGGCGGTGTGTTTTGGATCATTGTCATGTTGGAAGACCCAGCCTCGTTTCATCTTCAAAGTTCTCACTGATGGAAGGAGGTTTTGGCTCAAAATCTCACGATACATGGCCCCATTCATTCTGTCCTTAACACGGATCAGTCGTCCTGTCCCCTTGGCAGAAAAACAGCCCCATAGCATGATGTTTCCACCCCCATGCTTCACAGTAGGTATGGTGTTCTTGGGATGCAACTCAGTATTCTTCTTCCTCCAAACACGACGAGTTGAGTTTATACCAAAAAGTTCTACTTTGGTTTCATCTGACCACATGACATTCTCCCAATCCTCTGCTGTATCATCCATGTGCTCTCTGGCAAACTTCAGACGGGCCTGGACATGCACTGGCTTCAGCAGCGAACACGTCTGGCACTGCGGGATTTGATTCCCTGCCGTTGTAGTGTGTTACTGATGGTGACCTTTGTTACTTTGGTCCCAGCTCTCTGCAGGTCATTCACCAGGTCCCCCCGTGTGGTTCTGGGATCTTTGCTCACCGTTCTCATGATCATTTTGACCCCACGGGATGAGATCTTGCGTGGAGCCCCAGATCGAGGGAGATTATCAGTGGTCTTGTATGTCTTCCATTTTCTGATGATTGCTCCCACAGTTGATTTTTTCACACCAAGCTGCTTGCCTATTGTAGATTCACTCTTCCCAGTCTGGTGCAGGTCTACAATACTTTTCCTGGTGTCCTTCGAAAGCTCTTTGGTCTTGGCCATGGCGGAGTTTGGAGTCTGACTGTTTGAGGCTGTGGACAGGTGTCTTTTATACAGATGATGAGTTCAAACAGGTGCCATTCATACAGGTAACGAGTGGGGGACAGAAAAGCTTCTTACAGAAGACGTTACAGGTCTGTGAGAGCCAGAGATTTTCCTTGTTTGAGGTGACCAAATACTTATTTTCCACCCTGATTTACGAATAAATTCTTTACAAATCCTACCATGTGGATTCATGGATTTTTTTTTCACATTCTGTCTCTCACAGTTGAAGTGTACCTCTGGTGCAAATTACTGACCTCTGTCATCATTTTAAGTGGGGGAACTTGCACAATCGGTGGCTGACTAAATACTTTTTTGCCCCACTGTACATTTAGTTATATTATTATTTATACTTCTCTGGTCTTTCTTACCAGGTCCATTATGATTTCGGTCTGAGGAACATTTTGTCGGTTTTGAGGACGTTGGGAGCTGTGAAGCGATCTAACCCGTCAGAACCAGAGAAGACCGTGGTGATGAGGGTCCTGAGGGACATGAACCTCTCCAAATTGGTGTGTGTGTTAGTAATAAATGGTACTGGTGATACTGGTGGTGGTGGTCAGAGGGCTCGGTGGCGCCAGTGTCCGGCAGCCTCGCCTCTGTCAGTGCGCCCCAGGGCAGCTGTGGCTACAATGTAGCTGCCATCACCAGTGTGTGAATGTGTGTGTGAATGGGTGGATGACTGAATGTAGTGTATGGACTAGAAAAGCGCTATACAAATGCAGGCCATTTACCATTTAAATGCAGAAATTAGACTTTATGTTTAAAGTTTTCATTTCATTATTATTAGACTGTTAGAGTTGCCCACTAGGGGGAGCCCTTGTCATTGCAACAGTCAGCCATCCTGATTGCTTGTGTGACTTTCTGCAGGTGGACGAGGACGAGCCTCTGTTTATGAGTCTGATCAATGACCTGTTTCCTGGCATTGGTACGTTTCTTTCACATAACACTGAAACACACTAGCAGAGGCTCCATGAGTACACGACGGCTCTCATACTGTGTGCTTTTCTTTCTTCCCCCTCTGCAGTTCTGGATAAAGCCGGTTATCCAGACTTGGAGTCGGCCATCTTTAATCAGGCTCAGCAGGCCGGTCTGATCCCTCACCCGCCCTGGATCCTCAAACTGGTCCAGCTCTATGAGACGCAGAGAGTCCGACATGGTGAAGATCCTGACAGACAGACACAATTATCTGGACGCAGTGACACATTAATTAGTCTTTCTCGTCTCGCCACTCAGCTTCATTTACAGTTCCAGTGTAAATTAGTGGAAAGCAGGCTCAACATGAGTTTCTATGGTCATTAAACACATAAACTGCACGTTTAGACTCATCAGTCTAATGTGATTACAAAGTGCTGCAAAGGTTTGCTAACTTTCTCCTCAACATGAGGTTTAAACAGTTTTCAGTGCAGGTTATTATTCTACATGTACTCAGAGCTTCACAACATTATGGCTTCACTGACGCTGTTAAACACAACACCAACACAATCTGTCTTTGGCTGCTGTCACAACAACATAACCCACACTCACTGTGGATATAGTAACAGGATATTACACACTTAGAAACCAACAGCTTATTAAAAACATAAATGTTATTTAATATAATTTGGTATATAAAAGTTTAAAAAGCTTCTGGTGCACAAACCTTTATTTTATATACAACCAGTGTTCAATAATGCTGAGGTCACAGACACACTGATGGCAATGCTAAAGAGTCTTCAGCACACATGGGAGTCGAGCTGTCCTGTGCTCGTGCAGGTATGATGACGCTGGGTCCGAGCGGTGCTGGGAAGACGGCGTGCGTCCACACGCTGATGAAGGCCATGTCTGAGTGCGGCTCGCCCCACCGAGAGATGAGGATGAACCCGAAAGCCATCACAGCCTCGCAGATGTTCGGCATGCTGGACGTGACCACCAACGACTGGACGGACGGCATTTTCTCCACACTGTGGAGGAAAACTCTGAAAGGCAAAAAGGTTGATGGAAGCTCAAGCATGTTCCCTACATTCATGATGCTCCAGTGCAGATGTATATGTACGTGTGTGTGTGTGTGTGTCAGGGGGAATACATCTGGATTGTGCTGGATGGTCCGGTTGATGCCATCTGGATCGAGAATCTGAACTCTGTTTTAGACGACAACAAAACTCTGACGCTGGCGAATGGCGATCGAATCCCCATGGCTCCCTGCTGCAAGGTCATAGCAAAACAAACAAAGCTCACCTCACTTCAGCCAGACAGTCACTGTGGTGCAGTTTGACATAATCCACAAACATCATGATCAGAAACCGGAGATGCATCGAGGTCAAGTCAGCCCATATATTTTATATTCTTCCCTCAGATTGTCTTTGAGCCCCACAACATCGACAACGCCTCCCCAGCCACCGTGTCCAGGAACGGGATGGTGTTCATGAGCTCGTCAGTGCTCAGCTGGAGGCCCGTCCTGCAGGCCTGGTTACAGAAACTAGCAGAGCAGCAGGCCAGCGCTCTGAAACACTGCTTCGACTGCTGCTACCAGGTGAGAGCCGCCGGGACACAATTAGACTTATTTATCATTTTAATATTGATAAGATGTTACCACCTGGACAAACATACACAACAAAGGAGCAGCAAAGCAGTGAACCATAAAATAACCTCATCTGAACTCAGCAAACAAGGATCAAAGCTTCTTAATTCAATTCTCTTCAGTTTTATTTATGTAGCACCAATTCACAACAACTATCACCTCCAAGCACTTTGTGTTGTCGGCCACAGACTCTCCAATATTACACAAAAGAAGGAGAAACGAGGAGAAGCAAGTGCACTGTGACTCAAACTGGTCCCAGCACAGCACCCTGATGAGCTCCATAATTAATCATAGTGAACTTAGTGAGACATGAACACTGCTATAGACACCAAACAGGTTTTCTTACCCGCTGTAAACACGTTTATTTCTGCTGTAACGTTGGACATGTTACCCTGTTACCCCATCCACCTCTGGTGGCTGTTAGAGGAACTGCAGTTTTTAGCACTTGACCATTAAAGTCTGTTCAGTTTGGTGATTATCGCTTGTTTCCAGCACCCATGTAGCCAAACATCAGTTACTGATGACGTTGTAAGCAGAGATTAGAAATGCATCAACCTTGAAGGTAAAGAAATCATCAGACAGCAGGAAAGCTAAAGGTTAGTTTTGTATTCTTCTGTTTCAGGACTTGTTGGACTTTGTCTTCACTGCTGTGTCCCCTAAGATGCAGGTGCTGGAGTGTATGTACATCAAACAGACTATTGACCTGCTGCAGGTGGGACACAGCAGTAAAACACCAGAAAAACTAGAATCTGAGTCCAAAGTTCTTGTTGCCCTTTTGTTTGGTTATTTTTCATATCTGTGCTTTCAGGGTTTGCTCCCCGCAGCGCAGGACAAACAGGGTGGCCATGATCATGTGGGACGCATGTTTGTCTTTGCGGTCATGTGGTCTCTGGGTGCACTGCTGGAGCTGGATGACAGAGCCAAGATGGAGGCCTTCCTGAAGGTGTGTGAAAGTTTTCTTTGACTCCATAACAAACCTCGTTTTCAAATCAAATGAACCCGTAGTGTGAATTTTTACCGTCTACAGAGGCGGGATTACTCACCTTTATCCGCCCCCACCCTTAAGTAGAGGGCTAGGATTAAGGCTATGACCTACCCACGGTCCTGGTCAGATTCTCGTACCACTTTTCCAACACACTGACGTCTGCTCCTAATCGAGAACAGTTTCACCATTTTATGCTAAAAGAAAAAAAGTTTGCAGTACTTTGTGTACAACCTTGGACCCAGTGACACCAGTGCCATTTGAAGAGCCTGTCACATTAGAAAGAAAATGATCCCCAGTTTACAGACTGATGATCAGCACCCACTTTATTAAGTTTAGATACCAAACCAATCAAACTTTGACTGGTTCCAAGCAAAAAGCTAAAAGACGTCTAACAAAAGGTCACTCATCTGGAAATGAGTCAGTCCTGCTCTGTTATCACAATCCTGAACACCACGGCCTCCACGGCTGGAGCAAACGAGTCACATGGGACTTTAAAAAAAGGTTTTTAAAGGATATATCTGGTTGGAAATGGATGTAAATATTCCATTTGAGTTGAAAGATGTTTTTGTTTTTGTCTCAAAGGCCCACAGCTCATCTCTGGACCTGCCACCCACTCAGGACAACCAGACCATCTTTGAGTTCACCGTCAGCGAGCAGGGACACTGGGAGCACTGGTCCAACAAGGTGAGAGGACTATGTTTCTCCTGAGTGTTAATCGCAGAGAATGAAGTCAGCATGCTTCATGCATGTTCTGTGTTTATGGTTCTGATCAGGTCCCAGAGTATGTCTACCCCAAAGACCACGTCCCTGACTACTCGTCCATCCTGGTTCCCAACGTAGACAACGTGAGGACGGACTTCCTGATGCAGACCATCATGAAGCAGAGGAAGGCCGTGCTGCTGATCGGAGAGCAAGGAACAGCCAAGACCGTCATGATTAAAGTAAGAGTGCGCTCAGCCGTTCACCAGCACAGGCTAGCACAGGCTACAGCATGCAGCTTGCTCTCTGGCTCCCCCTGTAGGGCTACACTGGAAGGCTCGACCCAGAGCTCCACCTCAGTAAGACGGTGAACTTCTCTTCGGCCACGCTGCCCGGCATGTTCCAGAGGACGCTCGAGAGCTACATCGACAAACGCATGGGCACCACCTACGGGCCGCCGGCCGGACGCAGGATGACCGTCTTCATAGACGACATCAACATGCCCGTAATCAACGAATGGGGCGACCAGGTGGGCTTCAGGCTCTCTGTGATTGGTCAAACTTTTGCTAGCTTACCTCTTTGTTTCTCACAGAATAACCTCCACCTCACATCACAAATAACCAATCAGCTCAGTTTTTCCCCCACCCTGTTCTCTTTGATATGCATGTAACCAATCAGATTATTGTATCTCTGACACGCCCCCACATCTCACTCAGATAACCAATGAGATCGTGCGTCAGCTGATGGAGCAGGGAGGTTTCTACAGCCTGGATCGTCCAGGAGAGTTCATCACTGTGGTGGATGTTCAGGTGAAGTTTGGCTGTGGTTGGAGCGCTGTGGCACATTCTGGATGTTTCCATGGTGACAGACTGATGAAGGTTGCTGTGAGCAAAGGCAGGAGGACGCTACAGATATACTGGAGTATCACAGCGGTACCTAATGAAGTGGAGGGAAATACAGGAAGTGAACACAAACTTGTTGGTTTGAGGGATTCCTTCAAAAGTTTTAAATCATAAACAGAGAGATGATGATGATGATGATGTTAGATCATCTGCTCTGTGACTGACTGATGTGTGTAATGATGTTTACCAGCTGGTGGCAGCCATGATTCACCCCGGCGGCGGTCGGAACGACATCCCTCAGCGTCTGAAGCGCCAGTTCTCCATCTTTAACTGCACGCTGCCCTCCAACTCCTCCATCGATAAGATCTTTGGCACTGTGGCTCAGGGCTACTTCTGCCCAGAGAGAGGCTTCCCCGGCCCGGTGTGCCAGCTCGCCGCCGCCCTCGTCCCCACCACCAGGCGGGTGTGGCAGGCCGTGAAGGCGAAGGTTTGTTTTTTAAATAAGATCAAATCGGACCTTCAGAATAAAAGAAGGCTAAAATGTATTTAATTCTTTATAAACAGTCATTAAAAACTTATATTTAAAGCAGCTGATGATCACTGAAAGATCCCCTCTGAGCTTTTTTCAGGTTAATTCTCATATATTAGGAGGACATGAGGAGGGACTTTGTTCTAATCAGGATAATCAATACTTGATAATCAAAGTCATCATCAAACTTCATCCAGGATGTATCAGATCTATGCTCGTGATTAGTTCACCGCTTCATTTAATGATGGTGGAGATTAAATGTCTCTGCTTTTCATTTGAAGGTCACATTTACTGCACAGATTCAGATTTTCAAACACCTGATGCCAATTTTGTCACGTGAAGGCAAGATAGGACCTAAAGTGCAAACTCAGCACCTTTATTGCTCAAAATAAACTGAAAATACTAATAAAGTAAACAGGCAGGCTGGCAGACAGAACACAGTGGGAGATGAGGGAGGAAACACAGGGCTAAATCCACAGAGGGAGCAACCAGGGAGACAGGAGGGAAACACAGCTGGACAAATCAGGGCTGACGACACGAGGAGGCAGAAGCAGACACGTTGAAAGAGTCTCATGTTAAAGTAAAAGAGGAAATGTTCCAGTCACTGGGGGACTCCAACGCAGGACTCCTTGCTCAAAGGAAGAACAGAAGGCTTTTCTTCACAAACACCAGGTGAAATGTGTGACAGGGACTCAGTGCTATATACAAGCGTGCGGGGATCAGGGCTCCAGGGAATCCACGGGGAAAAGCAGGGCAACACTCTCACTCCTCTTCAGTCTCTCTCGGTGCCTCACCAGTCATTCATTCCTCTCTCGCACCAGAAACTCCGTAGGGAACAAGAGCAGGTCCAGGAGGTCTGTACACAGGAAACAAAAGCGTTAACACAAGAAGCTGAGACGCGGGAACTAGACTGTAGTGTCCAAGCCGGGATTTCACCGACACAGGTCAAGCAACGATCCAGCGAAGAGCAGCCTGGCTTCTTCCCTTTAGTAGAGGCCAGTTAATAAGACGCAGGTGTTGATCATCCCCCAGGTATGTAGGCCAAAGGCGGAGCCCACAATGAGCTCCGCCCAGGCGACAGAGGGAGAGAAAAAGAACACAAAGCAGAACTTCTCAGGAAACAACACAGACGCAGCCTCGACGAGGGGAGACAGAGCAGCTATGGACACAGAAACCATAGACAGAGAACTCTGACAAAGAAAGCAAAAGACCAGAAATGATCAATAACATCAAAGTTCAATAATGTCAAACTGCAAACTCGACGACCCAGGCACCCGAACAAATTTGACATGTTGATGAGTTTTGCTGTAATTGTAACTTTGCTTGACTTGATTTTGTTTGCATTCAGTCTGTGGATGTTTCTCAGATGTGATCTTCTCTCTCCTCAGATGTTACCGTCTCCTGCAAAGTTTCACTACATCTTCAACCTGCGTGACCTCAGCAGAATCTGGCAGGTAAAAAAATCACACGTGGTTTTATTTCTTCTTCTTTTAATCCTGAATAAACGTTTTGTCCTTTTTCCTGAGACTTTCTCACTCGTACATTTATCCTGAAGCAACTCTCTGACCCGGCGACGTGAACGAGTCCCTGTGTGTTTCAGGGGATCCTCACGGTGAAGTCGGAGGTGTGTCAGAGCTCTGAGCTCCTCTCAGCTCTCTTCCATCACGAGTGCTGCAGAGCGATCGCCGATCGATTTGTCGACAGCGGCGACAGACGAGCGTTCGGCAGCATCGTGGAGGCGGTGTGTGCGCTCTGACATCAGCACTGTGGCCCTCAGTCACAGCTTACAGAACAGAAAGAACATGACCTGCTGCTTGTTTTGGCAAAGACTGAGTTTCCTTTTTGCACTAAATAACTCAATAAATGTTAATAATACTGAAAACTAAGAGAAGGGGATTTCTGGGAGATATAGTTGATCCATTTTTAGGAAATTTGCTCGTCAAATAAAAGATTCCAAACTGTCAGCTTCATTAACCCTGGACGTGACAATAAATGATCACAATCTCAAATATTTTGTTCTTCTACAGATGATTTGCTACCAGAGGAGCTTTGCATGAGTCACAGTTCAGAATAATCTTTATTTCTCTGATATCAGGCTTTTGTTCAGGAATGAAATCAGCAGCTATATGAACGTCATCGTTGCATCTTTGGTCGGCTTCTGCCGGCTCTCGTGTTGCGTCTGTGTTTCCTGCCTGTGCGTCTTTGTCACCCTTTGTGTTCTGTGCTTGTCTCTTTTTGTGTGTCTGCTTTTACTTCCTGTCGTTGTGTTTTTCCCGCCCTGATTGTTTCCACCTGACTCTGTGTTCAGTCATGTGTTTTACTTCCTGCTTCTGTTTTCTTGGTTTGATTCACGTTTTCTGAATTTTCAGTGCAAAATAAAAACATTGTTGTCCAATAAACGTCTCTGGAATCAGAGCCGACAGATTAAAGATGATACAGGAACTTATCTCATGAGACAACAACAACTTTTTATTTAAAGTGCGGCACAAACAGCAGTGAGTAAATCTTCTGGACTGTATCTAACGCTCCTCTCCCTCAGGTCACAGTGGAGGATCATGGGAGAGCTCTGACTGAGCATGCTCAGTGGAACAGCTGCTTTGTGGACTTCCTGCGTGAAGCCCCGGAGGCGACGGGAGATGAACCTGAAGACGCTGAGCTGGAGGCTCCGAAGGTCTCAGAATCTGATTTATTTTAATATTTTTATTAAAGTGAATTTTTTTATTTAGTCGTAAGTTAAATAAAGTCCAGCAAAAATGAAAAGAGACTAAAGCTTTGTCCCAAAACGCCGGCAGCGTCCTCCGGAGGCTGCGTTCGAAGGCCGATTATGTCACAGCCAGGCAGCGAAGGCTGTCCATATTCGTCGACTCCTTCAAATGCGGCTGAGGAATGCGTCCTTCACTGAAGGATGGGTCGGGTGTGTCCTTCGTGGCCCACCATACCCAGAATTCATAGCGCGGCCCAGCCAATTCCAGTTTCCAACAATGGCGGCCACTGAGTTTTAATATTACTCTAATTAATCCACGTAGACCGCGAAGGCCGGGTCCTCCGAAGGATGCGGCCGACGTTTTGGGACACAGCTAAAGTCTTCAGGTCCCTCAGTGTTGGATAGTTTTCTGATGGTTTCTAAGTGTGGACGCTGATATGATTGACAGGTGTACGAGCCAATCCCATCGCTGGACCTTCTGGCAGAGCGGCTGTCGGCTTTTCAGCAGCAGTACAACGAGGCGGTGAGAGGCGGAGCCATGGATCTGGTCTTCTTCAAGGTGATGATGACTCCTGTCACACTCTTCACCATGACCTTTGTTCATATCAGCTGATATGTGTGTGGTCCAACGACAGGACGCGATGATCCACCTGATGAGGATCTCACGCATCCTGAGGACGCCACAAGGAAACGCCCTGCTGGTCGGGGTGGGAGGGTCGGGGAAGCAGAGCCTGACGAGGCTCGCGTCATTCATCGCAGGATACCAAACCTTCCAGATCACACTGAGCAGGTGAGTGCTTCCTGCGATTCATCGTGACCAACGGAAAATAAACACAAATAAGTCAGGTGTGAAAAACAAACTCACTGGACAGACGTGTAAACAAGTGGTGGGACACGGTCTCAGTGACCCACCACTCGTCCAATCAGCACTCGTCCAATCAGCACTCGTCCAATCACCACTCGTCCAATCACCACTCGTCCAATCATCATCCAGTGTCCCTCATCCACAAGATATTCACACTCCTCCCTTTCAGGCAGAACTCCTCACAAACCCGCAGAAGAAAGTCTGTAAATGAAGTTCTGTGATAAACTATTTTATTTATATAGCAGCAAATTAAACAACAGCCGCCTCACTGTGTTTATACTGTAAGATAAAGACCCTACAATAACACCACCAATCAGACGACCCCCTGTGAACAAGCACTTGGTGACAGTGGGAAGGAAAAACTCCCTTTTAACAGGAAGAAAAGAAGCAGAACCAGGATCAGGGAGGGGCGGGGCCATCTGCCACCACCTGTTGGGGGTGACGGAGGAAGACATTCATTTACTTTTCGAACATTCTGCCCCCAACAAATATTTAACACAATAAAAAGTTTTCTATCTGCTGAAAGTTTTTCCTTCAGAGGGGATCGTCTGAGTGTTGGGG